TTGACATACATGATTAATTTCTGGATCATCAATGACAGCTGGTAAATGACATTGAGCAAGAGCTGGTACTTGTTGTACTCTTTCATAAATATTTTCCTTTAATTGTTGTTGTAATTCTTTTTGTTTACTATCATCATTTACTAATAAATCAGATTGTAAAATTTCATTTGGTGTTTTACTTAATAGATCTCTATTGTTATTATTATTAATTAATAAACTAATAAATGAACGTTCCTGTTTTGTTACAGGTGATATATTCCAATGAAAATGTTTTTGTGTTGTTAATAAATGTTCTTCATTTGATTGTAATACAGATAAAAAAACCGGTGCAAATGGATTCATATATAGTGGTTGTTGTTCATTTTTATACATTTCAATAAATAAATAAAATATTATTAAACGTTGTTGTACTGTTGGAGCTAAATCTCGATTTTGTAATAAAAGTACCAGAGCATTTCCTAAACGAAGATAATCTGATTGTGATATTCCATGTTGAAATTTTATTGATATTTGTTCAAATGTTAATGATGAACCACATGTATCTTCATTAAGTAAATTTAAAATAAGACTTATATCTTTTGATAATAGAGACATTCTAGTTAAAACAAAAATAATAATAATAATAATAATAATAATAATAATAATAATTCGAATATAAGAATAAGGAAAAACATAACATATATATATAGATATATATATATAAACAGAATGGAGAAATAAAATAACCAATGAAAATGATAATAGATGTCAGTAAATAAAATTTATTCTATTTATTATTTTTTCTATTATTCCTTGTCAAGTGACTAGTTTCTAAGAAAAAAAAATTCTGTTGTCATCTAAATACTTCCTTATAAGGTATTACAACGAATTTCACCTCTGCATAAATCATTTATTTAAATGGCAGATATCATATGATCAATAGTTATTATTAGAAGAGTTGACGTATTTTGCCTGAAAAGTTCAGTAGATAGATAACAAAATAAAAGAAACTGTGGACTTTTTTTTCTGTACAACTGAGAAGGTCAACATATAGAAAAAAATATATGCGTATATATATATATTAACGATATGTCACTTGTTAAGGTTATCATTTATATTCACGGTCGTTCATTATTTTATGTTCTATCGATGTATTATTCATTATTTTAGATTTTTTGTTTACATTTATTACCCATTTCGAACGATCGATATATTTTATACCTTGAAATAGAAATCTATTTGCCATGGCAGATGATGATCAATTTGATATAGGTGAGGTTTAATTAACATATGAATGTAAATTTAAAAAATTTACTTTATTAAATAGATGATGATAGTGAAGATATCGAAGAAGATGAAGAAGAACAAGAAGGATCAGATGATGATACTGGATTTTTTCCTATTGATGAACCAATTGTACATTCATCACAATCAAATAATATAACAACAACAACAGCACGTACTTCATCAGAACAGTCAACAACAAAACTTTCTTCCAGTCTTGGTGGAGCATCGAATAATTATCCACAAGATAATAATTTTGAATATGTTGGTAAGATATATTTTAAAATAATTAAGAAAGAAAAAAAAAACAAACAAAAACAAAATATTCAATCGTTTTCATTTCTCATCAAAGTCATAGAATATCATAAGTAAAATACAATGAAATGACTAGATATTTAGAGAATATGCTTTCTATAAGCATTTTTACAAACTAACCACATATAAATTTCTGATATAATTGTTAAAAACAATTTCATTTATTTTTATATAGTATTATCACAAGATGAAATAGTCAAATATATGGTTGAATGTATACAAGAAGTGAATGAAGTTATAAAATTACCAACAACAACTGTACGTTTACTATTGCATCATTTTCGTTGGGATAAAGAAAAATTAATGGAACGTTTTTATGATCCACATCATCAAGATGAATTATTTCGTCAAGCAGGTATTGTTAATCCATTTAAAAGAACTCCTCAATTACAGACACAATTATCAAATCCATTACATCGTTCAACACGTCGTCAGACATCAGCCACAACACCAACATCTTCTTCAACTAAACAAACATGTATTATATGTTATTCTACAAAATCTGTAGATGCTATGACTGGTTTAGAATGTGGTCATATATTTTGTATTGAGTGTTGGCGACATTATTTAACAATAAAAATTATGGATGAAGGTATTGGACAAACCATACCATGCCCAGCTAAGTGTGACATTCTAGTCGATGATAAAACTGTTTTAAATCTTATTGACATACCAGCTGTTCGTCGAAAATATCAACATTTAATAACAAATTCATTTGTTGAATGTAATCGTAATATGCGTTGGTGTCCAGGAACAAATTGTACAAATGCTATTAAAGCATCCTATTGTGATGTTGCTATGGTAACATGTACAACATGCAAAACATCATTTTGTTTTCAATGTGGACAATCATGGCATGAACCAATTAAATGTAAATGGCTTAAAAAATGGCAAAAAAAATGTCGGGATGATAGTGAAACAAGCAATTGGATTGCTGCAAACACAAAAGAATGTCCTAAATGTCATGCAACTATTGGTAAAAATAAAATTTATTTATGTTAAGAGGAAATTTCAGAAAAGTTATAGTTTATTTTATTTCTATGAAAAATATTGCTCTTATTTCATCATATATGAAAAAAATTGATACTAAATTATCTGCTACCTTATATAGAACGTTTCCATGCTAAAATATAAGCAAAGATAACGAAAGTTATTCTTAAAAAATCTCTGTAGTAAGAACATCATTTAATGTCAATATATTGTGAGGAATTATTTTAAGAAAAATTACAAAAATTTTAATGGTCTTGATGGTTTTATATTGGAAACAAAAGTTATTTTTGATTTTATTAACTTTCATATTGCCACTTATGAAATAATAGTCCAGTTTCTATCTGTGCTTGGTATATGTATCAGCTTAATTATCAAATAAACGTAGCTGAAATTACATCCCTACTATTTACTAAGATTTTTCTTATATTCTTAAAATGTTTCCCGATCTGAATTAAAATATTCTTTGTTTCCATATAAACGAATTTTCATTCGTTGTTTTTTTATTTTCTAGAAAAAAATGGTGGTTGTAATCATCTAATATGTAAAAATCAATCATGCAAATATGAATTTTGTTGGATATGTTTGGGTCCATGGGAACCTCATGGTTCATCATGGTATAACTGTAATCGTTTTAATGAAGATGATGCTAAAAAAGCACGTGATGATCAAGAACGTTCACGCGCAGCATTACAACGTTATCTTCATTATTATAAACGTTATCATAATCATCATGAATCATTAAGATTAGAAAATAAATTATTAGATCAAGTACAAAAACGTATGGAATCTATGCAACAACAAATGAGCTGGATTGAAGTACAATTTCTTCAAGTAGCATGTGACGTACTGCGACAATGCCGTCAAACATTAATGTATACATATCCATTTGCATTTTATCTTAAACGAAATAATCATTCGTAAGTTATAGATGCAAAAAAAACATATGAATTACAACTTTTCAGTACGATTCGTGCGAAAAAATTGAATGCAGATCTAAATAATTTTTGAGAGTACATTTTATTATACTCTATGTTAAGGATATCTCGCCTCCTCTCATGATCTGAACTTTTTCGTTTTTTTTTAAGGGCATTGTATAACTGTCTATTAAATAAATATTGAAGTCGAGAAATCGTGTTTAAATTTTAAAAATTCGAGAAGAACTTACATTAGCGAATGCTGTACATTCGTTTTCATTTTGTTTTAACCAACTTTCTCACGAAAACACAAGGTGCAGAAACGCTTCCATTTCTCCTGCCTAATATGACTAATCGAGCTAGATCTATTCAAAACAAAAAGAAACATACCTACCCCAGACAGTGTCTAAATATAGTATCTTGGAGAAACAGTGGACAGGGGAGGCATTTTTCGCCATTGTGATCGCAGTATGTCATAGAAGATAGCATATGAGATCCTTCAAAAACCGGGTGGGTTACTCTTCATAAGAAAATCCATTTGCGAAATAAAACATGTTCAATGATATACAGCGTAATCCATCTTGACTCAGTACTATTCTTTGTACTAGGATCTATGCTATGAATAAAAGAGTGAGATGACTTTCCACAATAAAACAAACTCAATTGTATACCATACTATCCATTTCAATTCATTGATAGAAACAAAAACTAATAGTTAAATACAGCAAAAAACTGAATCTTACGAAAAACAAAAATTTTGTAAATCATTCATAAATATTATCGCAGGAATAACTTTGTCTTCTTTTTATTAGAATTATTTTTGAACAAAATCAAGCTGATTTAGAACATGCTACTGAAGAATTAAGTGGCTATTTAGAACGAGATTCAACTCAAACAACAAATCTAACTGAAATGAAACAAAAAGTACAAGATAAATATCGTTATTGTAGTACACGTCGAAAAGTATTATTAGATCATGTTGCGGAAGGATATGAATGTGACTATTGGTTAGTTTAAAAAAAAAATTCAATTTTGTTTTTATTAATAATTTTTTTCCTTTGTTTTATTCTAGGGAATATAATGAGGATTTATGAAATATATATATATATATATTATTATTATTTATCACACAAAATGTATATGACAATTATAGATATTCATTTAAATTGTGTGTTTATATTTATGTCATTTATTATAATCCCTTCTGTCCTTATTTGGATATTTAGACGAAATTTTGTCGTATCTTTGTTATTCTATATCCATTCTATCTTTTCCTTCTATTTCATCAAATTGTCTCTTTTGTTCAATTTTCCCAAGAAAAGAACAATATATTAAACAAGACCAAAAACTTTCTTTTTCTTTTTCTCTTTTTAATGATATATTGTGAATTTTTTGTCATATGGCAATTATATACATATATACATAAATTGAATTAATTACTTTTCTCTCTTCTTTCTTCATGTTATTCGGTAACACACTTTAACAAACGATTCGATTCATCAACAAATAATCGAAAATATGCGAAGAGAAAAAAATGATCGTTTCGGATTTACCAATGATGGCACAGTGATACTATCGGTACATCTCAAAGAAAGATAATTTTATATAGTTTGCATGGCGTATTTCATTAAAAATTATGCTCAATGATCTTGTACATATATGATGCAAATTTTGGATGTAATGACTACAGTTGTTGAGATGCAAAAGGTTCAACAAAGTTCTTACAATGGGTGACAAGGCGTATAACGAAATAAACCTTCACTATATGCTTTTGTTCATTAGCAATATTAAGTACATAGAGTTTCGTTGTACATACACATGGTTTAAACTTTACTATAATCTGTTTCAACAAATAACTTTTAATAGGAATCAGATACACAGCTGCATTTGTCACCATTACAAAGAGAAGTCTCAGAATCATAAATACGGGCTAAAACTTGATTCTTGATTTGGTCCATAGATAGAAAAAATGGTTCTCTTTCAATTTTCGCAAAGTTAACATTGCTAGCTGTTCAATTCAAAGTCATAAGAGCTTTCTAGATATTCTCGATTTCAACTGATTGACCTGAGGCCACTCTGAAAAGCATCTTGGCAAGAGTGATTCATCATAGTGAGTCAAATGGCAATATTTCTATCAAAAATTATCTAAAAATTATCCACAGCTCTTTTGTTTTTACGTGAATAATATGCGTATATCAATTTTTCAGTCTTCTTCACATCATATCGTAACTTTAATATACTCCATATAAAAAAACCTAATAAAGAAGTTGAAATTTATTGAACTAGATCCAATATTGCACGATGTTTACTATATTGGATAAAAGTATTTAGGTTCATTTCGCATAAAATTAATGAAATTTTCTATACAATTTAGTTAACATGAATAAACAGTTTACAGCTAACATCTTCAGATAAGAAAACAAAATACCCAAATATCTCTAAATAAAATCATTATCAAAAATGATATCATATTTTAAGATAAAAATAAAATATCTTCACATATTTCAAAATAAACTGTTACATGTCGTTCGTATTCACAAGTGTGTATCATACCATATTGTTTAATCAGAAAGAAAGAAAAAAAAGAGAGAAAGAGAGAACAAGCTAGAATGACAATGATCAAACTCGAGTATTCTGGAACATTCATGTTAATACTACTCTTTTGAACGTTCACTCTAAAACTAACCGCAACTCTCTCAGCGCTTCTACATACTCAATAATGGCATTATTTCCAACCCGTCGTTATCGTCTTTTCGATAATCCATTCGATCGTTTTTTTGGCGATCAACTTTATTGTTTTGATCCATAGTATGATTTTGATACATTTCCATCGGCTCTATCCATTCGACCACATGCTTTTCGTTGGATTAATGAACCTCGTCGATTAACACATTCATCAACTACTAACGATAGAAGTTTACAACCAACGACACGAGCAACAAATTCCGAAAAATTTCGTGTTCAACTTAATGTAGCAGGATTTAATCCTGAAACAATTCAAACACGTATTGATTATTGAAAAGTTATTGTCAAAGCTAAACAAGAAGATCGTCAAAAACATGGTGATTTTAATATTCAACAAATTCGAAACTCAATTTGGTCAGTATCGTGATCCATTTTTTGATTATGTTGGCTTTTTAAGTGGTTCCGATTTTCAACCACGTATTGTTGATAAAGGTAATAATCAAAAACAATTAGAAATGACTGTTTGAATGAAACATTATCGACCAGAAGAAATTAAAGTTTCAGTAAAAAATAATGAACTAATTGTACAAGATGAACATAAATATAAAGATGAGAATCGTTCCGAACGATCATATTTTTTTAAATCAACAACATTACCACCTGGTACACAAGTTGATCAATTAAAATCACAGTTAATCGATGATGGACAATTAAAAATTGAAGCACCATATATTGAACAAAAACAAACTGCAAAATCAATTGAAAGCCATAAGAAATAAATGTCAGAATTATTTGTTATATATAAACATTGATATATTTTTCTTTTGCTTTGTTTTTATTGGATAGTATCTGTTTTTTTCGTTATTAGTTATTTGCAAATAAATAAAGAAAAACAATAATTCTTAATTGATTTTTTTTTCATTTTTTGAAAATTTGATATAATCGATGATCTAGAACATATTGATATTACCACAATAGTTCATGTCCTAATTTTTTTTTTCAAGAGATTGAAAGTTAAAACTTGATGAATGTCGTAGCATAGTTCTTTTCTCTTCTGCAGTTTGATGTTTTATTACTATATAGTTAATTTTGAGAATAAGATTCAATGTTAAATCAGAATTTAAAAAAGGCTACGAAGTCTCAAAAATAGTAAGATGTAGTGATGTGTAATTTTCAACGATGGAAACAAGTAACTTGGAGACGTCTATTTTTATACAACGACTTATATTTATAATCATTCCAACTATAGTCATTCACACAACATATTGAAACATTTTCGTCAATTTTAACTGAAAAATTCACATATTGACAAGTCAGTGAATATTAAAAGGATGTTATTACCAATATTATTCCCTAGTCCATTCTCATTATGGAAATTCCCAGTGAGTCACCAAGGGACCTTTCAAAAACCCACGGAGAGTTCCCAAAAAACAAGGGATCTCCTGGGGAAATTTCAGAGAATCTCCACATTTTACGGAGTAGGGAGAAAAAAAGGAGTCCGTGACAGATCTCAGTGATATTATCACTGAGCTTTAGCCCTTAGAAGACACGTATATAGTAACATACATAGAAAGGTAGGTACATAGATAAGTTGGTAGATAGATAGATAGGTAGTAAGTAGGTAGATAGATGGGTAAGTATGTAGGTAGAAAGTTAGTTAGGCATGTCGCTCAGTGATAATTTCACTGACAAATGTCATATAATGGCTAGCATATCTGTTAGGAAACTGTCCTTTATAAGGAACTACATAGTCACTTATATAGCCACTCTCTGTCATGAGTCCCAGGTGGATTTTTCTAGGGACCCTGGAAATTCGTTTAGGGATTCTTGACTAGGGTTCTTGATGAAAATACTTGAATTAATCAGGAATAGATAAGGTATTTTAATGTGACGGCAGAACTCCAACCATATCCTATTATCAAGGATTATTTCGGAAAGGAGCGGGTGCAGGTAGGAATCTTCTCTTGTATAACATCTACCCCCACACCCTATCAGGCTTACAGGGAGTCTCCCTGGTCGGGGTGTGGGTGTGGGGTCTTGCCACACCCATCCACATCCACACCCTGCTAAGAAAGAATAGTTCACATGCATAAGGCATTTATCGATTGGATCGTTTCCTATTTTTCAACTTCTGATTCTTATTAATGAATTTAGCAAAATTGATGACACGATATAGATAAAGAATCTATAAGACATTAGACAAGGGGAAAAACACGTACTCCCGTACTCCGAGTACAAGGGAGTACAAGAGAGTACAAGAAAGTACAAGGGAGTACATGGGAGTACAAGGGGATGCATGGGAGTACAAGGCAGTACAAGGGAGCACATGGGAGTACAGGGGAGTACATGGGAGTACAAGGAAACACATGGGAGTACAAGGAAACGCAGCGAACGTAATAATGTACCACAGATCAACCCCAAATATATCTCGAAAAAGCATTGCACGATTGATTTTTTTCTTTTGTTGATTTATAAACGACCTCGAATCAAGGGGGAAAATACGTACCCCCGTACTACGAGTACTCACGGGGTACAGAGAGTACACGGGAGTACAACGAACGCAATAGTTTATTCCGAATATTTTTTGAGAAAGTATTGCAAGACTGGTTTTTTCCTTGTTTTAATTTTTAAACGACCTCGAATAATAGCAAGGGGAAACGGTACTCCGGGATCTCAAATACTCCGATACTTTAGCTGGTACTCCGGTACTTCGGATCGTACTTCGCATCGTACTCCAGTAGCTAAGACATACTTTGTGTTGTTCACAATGGACATTTCAGTGAGAATCTACCATCTTCCATCATGTGTCTCAGCAGTATAATTCAAACTATCAACTTTACTCTTTGCGTTGGTTTTCAGCTTGGAGTACTGGAGTATCGTCGGAGTATCATCGGAGTACTGGAATAGGAGCCGGAGTATCGAAGAATTATTGAAGTATCGCAGTATGGGAGTCTCAAGTCAGTAGTCAATAGCTGTAATTCCCACCACACTTTGTTTCACGTTTGAGAATCATAATGATCGAAAAGAAGCAACGAAGTAATTAACTGTAAACACCTCAAAATGGGTTCATCCTTTGGTATTTTACGCCAAACTCAGATACTTCGGGCGTACTCCAATACTCTGAAAAAATATTCCGATACTTCAAGTCATACTCCATACCTAATTTTGTTATTCTGAGTATTGTTGCGATTCTTGTGAGCCAACTCCGATGCTTTTAATACGTGTTCGGCACTTTTGATGGATCCGAAGTCAGCCGTTTTCCCCTTGAATAATAGGTTGTTTAGTAGACAAAGCAACTAGGGTGGTATCTAGTGGACGAGACGTCGCATTCCTCTTTTTCGTCTTTCTTATAGTTGAACGCAAGGGGAAAAGGGGGATTTCCAAGATTCCGGATCCCTGAGAGTACAATGGGACTTCTTGAAATCCCGGAAGTACGATGTATCTTATAGGGGTATTCATAAGTCCACATGGGCTTTCTTATGGAGGTACCCATAAGTCCTCATGAGCTATCTTATGGGAGTATTATAAGCAAGGGGAAACAGCAGACTTCCGTACTCCACGAGTCCCTGGAAGTTCCTAGGAGTTCCAAGGACTCCCAAGAAATCTCAAAGAGTTCCAAGGAGCCCCATAAAATACAGGAGCGCAGCTCTTTACACATTAGTTTCTTTTCATTAGTGTTTAACCTTTGACCTTTAACCTTTGATCTGAACAGTCAGACCAGTATGATGCATGTAGGTGCTACTACTTCGGAATATGTCAAAGTAGCAAGAAGACCCAAAGGAGTTCCAGGGAAATCCCGGGAAGTCCCAGTCAGTCCCATAAAGTCCCTCGAAATTCGAAGAAATCTCATGAAATCCTGGGAAGCTCAGGAGTCCGCGGAAGTTCCAAGGGATCCTTGGGAGTTTCGAGGAATCCCTAGGAGTACGAAATCTGGGAGTCTGCTGTTTTCTTCTTGCGTGTGAGTGGCGTTCTTATCACAGTTTGCGTTCCTACCTAGAAGCTCTTGAAAATCTATGACAATTAACGCTAGATATCTCCTTAACAGTTAGCGGTATCCGACATCCCTCCACGAAATAATGCTTGAAGAGTAACTGGAACTACCGCAAGACAGTGCTTGAAAATTTAACAATACCAAACATCAATAGCCCTTGGTGAATTATGAGTACCTTCATAGGATAGGCCATGAAGACTTATGGTACCCACAAAAGATAGGTCATAAGAACTTATGGGTACCCCATAGGATAGGCCATGGGAACTTATGGGCGCCCCCAAAGCATAGGTCATGAGGACATGAGTGTCCCATTCAAGAAGAAATAGGAATATTTAAAGTGGTTGACAAAGGTACCTGTGATACGGTGTCCTACATAAGAATTGTATCTCACAGATTTCTTGTACTTCGGTGTACTCCCAGAGTCCAGAGAGTACAATGGGAGCACGGGAGTACATGTTTTCGTCCTTGCTGGGCTCTCATGTACTCCCATTGTACTCCCGGAGTCCAGGGAGTACAACGGAAGTACGGGAGTACAGCGGAGTATAGAGAGTACTGGAGTACATGGTTTTCTCCTTGAGAAATAGGAATATTTAAAGTGGTTGACGAAGGTACCTATGATACGGTCTCCTACATAAGAATTGTATCTCACAGACTCCTTGTACTTCGGTGTACTCCCGGAGTCCAGAGAGTACAATGGAACTACGGGAGTACAGCGGAGTACATGAAGTACGGGAGTACGTGATTTCTCCCTTGCTTTCACGTTACAGTGTTAAAGTGTTAAAGTATGTTACTTTAACTTTCGCTTTAACGTTAAAGTTAAAGTTAAACTCCCACCCCTATGTTGGACTCCCTGTACTCCCAAGTACTCCCGGAGTCCAGGGAGTTCAATGGGAGTACGGGAGTACGTGTTTTCCCCCTTGAATTTCAGCAATTAAAAATATCACTTTAATGATTCTGCAATATGTAACGCTTATTCATCAGAAAAAATCTCATTACTTAGATGAGTGTCATGCTCTTTTTGTCTCTGCTTTCATTGCTATACTCTTTTAATCTAAGTTTTCTCCTTCGTTATTATATCTATTGCTTACATATTGATATTCACATTTCTTTCACTAGTATAGAACATTGAAGCATAAGATTACATGTTTCAATTCAAGTTCACCTTCAAACGACATTAAGTATCGCCGCATGTTTAACATGAACCTCTGTTCTTAAAAACTTTTTGGCGCGACACCGATGTGGTGAGAATCGTTGCTTAGTTACTTAATAGCTGTAATCAACATACCGACTTTTTTGAAGGTTTGAAAGGCACTGAATTACTCGATGAGTTCTTCTGTTGATCTTAAACCTTTTGCTCTTCTCGAACAGAGAGCAAAAATTTCAACTTTAAACTGGTATTCACTATTTTCATATGCAAGTTTCGAAAATCGGTTTCAATTTAGGTTTATCACAAATTCAATTGAAAACTGTATAACGGTTTGTCCTCGTTTTAGAAAAAAAACAGTAGAGAATCCACAGGCACTATAAAAAATTTTTTCCATGTCGTTAAATGTGTTTCATATTGGTCATTTAAGATGATAAACAATCGCAAGCAATAGCAATTTTCATTCTTGGATTATTCACACAGAAAATTGTGTCAATGAAAATTTGAGGGTGTGGGTGTGGGTGGGTGTGGGTGTGGGATTTGTCTTTCATATATCCCACCCACCCACACCCACACCCACACCCCACACCCACATCCACCCACACCCCACACCCACATCCACCCACACCCACACTCACCCACAC